ATAAATTCCCACGGGGGGGGGGGAGGGTTTCATATTGGTGCTCATGGTCTATTACTACTGAGTGGACACTTTGATTCGAGAAGAGGAAGACCGGTTACAAGTCTTTAATGATTTTCTCCACACTTTAACACCAAGTGGTTATATCTCACAAGTTATGTTGTTATGTTTATAAAAAGGTGGAATTTTAATTTTAACAAGAAATTGAAATCCATAAAAACTACAGGTTAATGGAACCAGAATAATAATGAAAGAGATTAATGACAAAGTCTATGAAAATGATAACTGGAAGTTCGGCTGGAAAACGAGTATTATTATTCCAATTAAGTTTAGAATCGTCAGAGGGAAATTTTCTCCTGAAATTCAAACATCTGCAGTTCCAAATGCCGAATCGCTTTTGCCATGACCATCACAAAATTTCAAGGACAGACACTTGAAAAAGTTGGTCTTATCTGTCATAGTCCTGCTTTGCTGAGCATTGGACATTGTACGTACCACGCTTTCGATTACCTAAAAATAATGGTGAAAAAACAACGAAACCAAGGTCTTCTGATTAAAGACGTTATTAGAGTGTTTGCGAAAAAATCTTATGGAAAGAGTCACCTTTAACATGTAAAAAGTAAGATGTAAATGTTAACTGTTCTGTCCGGCAGTATTGTGTACTCTGTTAAAACCTTTATTAAAACAGTAGCCTATTGAGTATTGACTTTTGATTTATTATGTAGTGACAAGATAAAATTGTATTTAAATTATTAAAATGACATTGAAATGTAGTTAATATTATTAACTGGAAATAACTAGTTTCGTCTATTACGATTGTGTTATTATATCATCAATGTCAATGTGTGTTATAGCAATCGACAACTATAATAGGCTAAAACCTTACCTAATAAATCAATCGATAAATAATTTCGATCGATACGATTGCCACAATCGAAATTTACAACTGTTTACAACATCTGATTTTTACTCCATAGAGAGTAAAAATGCTACTATAGACCCGCCACGCATGCATTAAAAACTGCTCTTAAAAACTGACTAGGGAGTAAAAATCATTTAGTGTCTAGGGAGTAAAAATCAGCTGTTGTAAAGAGTTGTAAATTTCAATTGTGGCATTCGTATTGATCGAAATTATTTATCGATTGATCTATTAGGTAAGGTTTTAGCCTATTGTTGTCGATTGCTTGGCATATCGATGGTATGATAACACAATCATAATAGACGAAATAATTGAATCACTTACTAAACAGCTGCTTATTAGCAGAATTGAAAACAAGATGGAAGTCGTTTTGAGAGGTTATCTTTACATAACAATTATTTGGTTTTCTAGCTTAGTTTGTTAATTAATGATGCAATATGACGAAAAATACAGTTTACCACACGGGCAAAAAGTGTTTTTTTAACCCTCGCTCATTTTCCAACCTTGGCTTCGCCTCGATCCTAAAACTTGACCTCGGGCTAAAAAGAGTCACTTTAGGCCCTCGTGATTAAATATACTATTTTAGCACATAGGCAGTAAACATCAGCTGTTGTCAACTCAGTTGTAAATTTTGATTGCATCCATCGAAAGTAAGTATGTTTTAATGTTATTTAAATAGATACAATTGAAAATCCAATTGCGACAAATGGAAATTTGTTTAGTCTGCAGGTTTGCTGCGGCAGGAGTATTAAGTCTGATGAAATGTGTACTATTCAGGTTTAATTTCAACCTTCAAATTAAGAATTTACAGATTTTAAATTTGATAAATTAATAAAAGTTTATGACTTAAAGATATTTTTACTGTCTCATAGTTTGGATTATGTATCCTTAATACACAATTCCCCCCTTATTTATGTGAGACAGCATTAAATGTGCATTTCTATCAAGAACTTCAGTTCAAAGTGTTATAAGTGTATAATTCAGAATTAAAATCTACATAGCTGTAACCAAAAACTGTATTTTACTCTCTAGTTGGTTTATACCTATTCAATGTATCTGAAGCTTTTACTCATACTGCAGTATGTAAGATTATGTTGCAGCAGACCTTCTTCTGATCCCTGATCTGGCATGAAGTGTTTGATTTGCATCCTAAAAAGGAGATGGACCTTCGCCGCGGACCCTTCGCTATAGCCTCGCTGCAGGAACTGTTCTTGACCTTTATGCCTTGACGACGCTTTACCTGGAGGAATTAGATTGGATATGGATACGTTTAACACTTTGGACAGATTCTTTCTTAATGTAAAATAAATATTTTTAAATTGTAAGTAATTTATAGGCTAAATACGCTTTTAGCATAAGTGAGTTAGGAAGACCATGCAAATTAATTATTTGTATCCTGCCAATAATCAGATATCCAAATAAACTATATGCAAACTTAATTGAAATGATAAATCACAATTTTCCGAACCAGCCCAATTTAATAATTTTATGATCCAATTCACAGATGACAGTGGTTGACATGTGATTGTTACATTTTAATGTAATTTGTTACACAGCATTACAAACATTGCACTGCAAAGCAAAGCAAAAATACCAGTCATCTGATATTCACGTTTTTAATAACATTTTTTTCTTTACCTACACATTGACTTATCATCGTGACTTATCATCTAACACGGTTTACAGATAGGTGTTTGCAATGACGAGGCAATCTGTTGTTAAGATTAGGAAGCTGGAAACACTGATTATTTCGTTGTGAATCATACCTCAACCTATAAAAGTAAATACCTCCGCCGCAGTAAAACTGAAGACTAAGCGAATTTACATTTGCGACGTTGGATCTTTACTAAAATATTCCCTCAATACTGTCACATTTATTTTCTATCCAAACAACATCAATTTTAATAAACCCTTATGTTTGCTGCTACAGTGAAAGTAATAAAGTGTTTTTAATTGAATGTTAATAGCTAAGTATGAAATAAACAAATATGCCAAATTTGATCACAATGTATCCCTAAACAAGCATACTACAACAGTTCATTTATTCTCCATAAGAATAACAGTAATTTAAAGTTTACAGTTTTGTGGGATTTTTCCTTTTATCGTCTGGCGTACAACAACGCTTCAATATACAAAATTATTTCCTTTTTTTAAGCTCTGCAAAATGGTTGAAACTAACTTTTCTCAAACATACACATTTAAAGCACTGTATTTAAATTAAATTCTTGTTTGTTAAAATTAAAAAAGGCTGGTTTGTGTTTTGGGCAAGGTTAAAAAATAAATTAACGCATTGGTGTTGCATTATATGTTTCATTTCTTCTGTCTCAATTTCTTTCCAATGTTCGGAAGGTCTCTTGTCTATTTCATGTTTGAAGTTAGGGACAGGATAGCCTACTTATCTTAATTATCTAATATAGGTACCTACTAACTAGGAACCTACTATGTTATTTTTCGACCAAAACATAGTTTTACTTAAATAATACCAAATATAAGCCTATTAGGACAATTAGAAACTGAAACAGTAGTTTGAAGAGTATTATTATTTTCAATTAGGACTTTTGAGCAGGTTAGGATTCAAAACTCAGGATTCGAGATTCAATTTTTTATGATTCGGATTCAGATTCGAGATTCTAAATCCCTGGATTCGACCATCACTAGTAGATACGTCAGAAACTATTACAGTAGTATCTGTTTTTATAAAATGTATGTGTAGTGTACACGTTAATAACCACTTGATGTTCTGTCTATACAAGTAGATATTGTATTACAGATGTCAGAAACTACATGATGTGTTTATACAAGATGCCGGTGTAGTGTATACGTCAGCAACCATGCGATGTTCTGTCTATACAAGTAGACAGTGTATTACAGATGTCAGAAACTTGTACATGATGTGTTTATACAAGATGCCAGTGCCGGTATACGTCAGCAACCATGCGATGTTTTGTCCATACAAGTCTACCAACAGGTCTGGTTATTTACTGCAGTGATATCATTCTTTTATACACCAATCTGTGTGAGTCATTGGTTGCTGCAATACATCTTGTACAATACAACACTGGTGCTGCTGTCACAACCAGCTTTGTGGTGAAGGCCAATGCCGTAGTTTTAGCGAGTTTCCTCGAAATAGCTGAAGATATTACAGTAAGTGGCACGCTAAGAATTAGTCCCGGTACCGATTTCTTTTTCATTTTAATGTCCCTGAAGACCAAAAACACTATTTATTACAGTTTGTTTGTGTGTGTCAGTCTTTGGTATTATGGTGTAGGATGGAATAATCTAGAATGAGTAGTGAACCAGCAAGATCTGGTTACATGAAGAGAGCATTAAATAGCTGTTATATGGGGTTTTAACATTTTTCAAAAAATGTTTATTTTAAAGTTTATATCCTTATGAAAGTGCATACTTTTTACAACCACCGTGTAAAGATTGAAGAACAAATAATTTTGTGTATTAAAGCGTTGTTGTACAGTAGGGGTGAAGAGGAATTCCCAACAATGAACATTTAAAATTCTAATGTAAGTGGCATAGAAAAAGTCAACTGTTGTAGTTTTCTTGTATATTGAAAAATTTCGATCAAATCTGGCATATTGCTTTACAGTTTACTAAAATAACCCTTTATCACCTTCCCAGTGCCATCAAACAATGGTTCTTGTTAAACCATAATTAATTAAATAAATGATATATAAGGATGGTATGATCAAATATGCTCGTTGTAGTACTTCTGCTTATATAAAAAAACAAAAGAGTACATGTTTTCAGGTTATTTTTAACTACTGCACTATACCTTTTTTCCATTTGCAACACTAATTTTTTAGTTGGTATTTATCAATACCATTACCACGTTTGTTTTTCAAATTGTTATCGTAACAATGCCACTAAACATTTTCAATCTTCCATTTTTATGTATCATCAAAAGATTGCATAGCAGTAAAATTTACTGTCGGTTGTTATACCGAATTTCCCATATAAGGAATAGCCTACGCTATTTTAAATTACATAGAACAAAAAATAATAGATTTTTTAACTTATTATTCCTGAATAGATATTTAGAATTTTAGGAATGATTAATAAGGACACAATATATGAAATAATTAATTATAATTTATATTTAATTATTTGTCATGAATGGAATGTAGAAAATGGAATTAAATAAGAAATGATATGATAAGATACAATAATTATCTTTATGCCTATTTGTATACATAGCTCTCAGCCCCTCCTCTGCCAAAGCCTGTAACAGACAACCAAACAGGTTAAGTTACTCAATCCAATGTTGTAGATCTAATAAATAACAGTTGTGTTGGTTTATCCAGCATTGCCTCCAGGATTGATTTAAGACAATATTTAATAGGTTTACGTATCTTACGTCGTCAATACTAGTATAGTCTCGGGCGCTATACATAAATACATACACGTAGGCTACCCAAGACGACGTAAGGTACGTAAACCTATTTTATATTGTAAGTTGTGTTGTGTATTTTTGCTGAATTAGTTATTGAAAAAAACGCAACTTAAGTTATTTACATGACCCAAGTAAAGTTTGCAATTAGGAATGCACAAAATTGGGTTTTCTTTATCTGGTACAGTACAATTTATGCCATACAATTTGGGACAGTGCTATTTTGACTGGGAAATTGGACCATAGTAGTTTATGTGGGATGAAAGCTAGCTAAAAAACATGATTTTTATTTACATTTGAAGCCGTACAAGGAGTAACCATATTACTCCAGTTGAAAACGGAATTATAAAAATGATTTAAAATGCATAACCTGTTAAACAAAAATGAAGAGCAGCAAGAGTGCAATAATATAAGAATATGTATTGCAAAATCGACATTAATGTCCAATGATAATTTTTTTAACCACCCATGTCTATGATTTATTTATTATATAAGTTTGAATTTTGAAAACAAATCCAACTGCCAGTCCCATCTGGCCAGTCCAATCGCCCACTCCATTAGCCTTGTCCCAACTGCCCAGTCCCTATTGCCCGGTCTCAATCGCCCAGTCCCAACTGCCAAGTACCAACTATCCAGTCCGACCGCCCACTCTTAAATGCCTTGTCATAACTAACTGCCCAGTCCAATCGCCCACTCCCAACTGCTCAGTCCCAACTGCCCATTCCCATCTGGCCAGTCTAATCGCCCACTCCCAATGCCTTGTCCCAACTGCCAAGTACCAACTATCCAGTCCGACCGCCCAATCTTAAATGCCTAGTCATAACTAACTGCCCAGTCCAATCGCCCACTCCCAATTGCTCAGTTCCGACTGTCAAGTCCCAGTACCTCCAGGGCCGTAGAGGGCCGCGTAGCAGGGCTGGTGACAGTAAGGTTTGCCCTCATGTTCAGCGTGTCCGCCGGGTGTCAGGGTCTTGTTACACTTCTCACACCTCAGACACGCGCCGTGCCAGTCCTTGCCTAGCGACGTCTTGCGCTCGGCTGCAACATCAACAGTATAAGATTATATTTTAATAAAAACTAAATATCATTAAAATATCCCACAACCCGCATTGCACGCATTTACTACTTGATTCGCCACTTCCTACGTCGTGGACCTGTCTCCCTCCCATCCCATAGCATTTTAGTATTGCAGATACATTAATATAACTGCCACAAAAGGTCCCCACAATCCGCACTTCTAGCCTTTACTACTTCCTTCACCACTTCCTACTTCGTGGACCTGTCTCCCTCCCATCCCATAGCATTTTAGTATTGCAGATACATTAATATAACTGCCACAAAAGGTCCCCACAATCCGCACTTCTAGCCTTTACTACTTCCTTCACCACTTCCTACTTCGTGGACCTATTTCCCTCCCTTCCCATATCATTTTAGGATTGCAGATAAAATCAGTAAATACAGAGGTAGTTTCCAAATGCTCTATAATGCATTCTCTGTATTCTTTGATCAAAGGTTGTCACCTGAGTGTTTTTTCCTTTGTGCTGTATTTAGATCTTTGGTACATTAGTTTGCTAACAACCTAACAAGCATATGCTGTGATTCTTTGTTTACATCCATGTTTTTATCTCGAAACCATCATGGCAACTCATAAGGCTAATGCTAAAAACATTTTGTTGGTTTAAAATTCTACAGACATTGTCAAATTGAAATTTGTTGGTTGTATTGAAATTTTGGAAAATTGTAGGTGTAATAACATGAACACTGTTTCTCAAAATAACTCTGCAAACATTGGATTAAATAAATATGTTCAGCCGTTAATGAATTCCATCTAACTATAACCTTATTCCATTTGTATATTTAGTTTTTCTTCTGAATATAGTGAATAAAAAATAACGGGATTTACGTTAATAAAATAATTAAACTATATAACGGGTTTTAATGTTAGTAAAATTAACTTTTAGTTATGATTTCACATTATACTACACCAAGAAGCTCTTGACTGGATTGTACTTTTGAAATCACAAGGAATACGCTTGGAAAGAGTTTTTATTCTGATGGTTTTATTTTTCTTTGTATCAGAGAAGTCGTGAATTTCGCTTGTAAAGACAAAGGTTGATGACGAAAACAAGACAACAATGAGGGTACTGTTGTACGGATAGCTAATATATAGCACAATGGGAGAATCTGTGTTGTGAGATTGTCTGTCTGGCTCTGTAGCTCTATTGACAACGAAGGTCTTGTTGAGACACAATCCTAGGAAGGTATGAATGATGAATTATTACTAGTAATGTTAGCCATACGTGATGTTTACTTGTGACTGATACGTGACGATAAGATATTCCCGGAACATCATGGCATTTGTTGTTATCCACAATTGTACAGGATGCTGATAAAACACCCACATCGTCACTCATACTCATAGTCACACTCATTATTGACACAAATTTGCTCTTATATTAATTAGTGAAAGCCCCTTTGAGTGCGATTAATGTTTTCCATTAGATAAAATTATTTAACATATGAAGTGCAACCGCTGATCAACATGGGAATTTGAAAATACTCTTAGTTTATTATTTTTCCTAGATCGTATCAAGGAAGCTGATCAATTTAATGATTCCTTTTTGAGATTGAAAACATTTTGTCGTTGGTGTCACACATGTTAGAAGGCGTTTTCAGTCAAATCCCCGAGGTAGGCCTATACAGTAGTAGTGTCGGAGTACGAGAAGTAATCATTAGATGGAAACTGGCTTGTTTACCCCACCATGGTCCCCGGGGACGAGCACGCGATGCAGTTGTGGGACTCCCGCAAGTGTGAGGTGGAGTCGGGGGTAGAAGTGGCAATCACTGCTAATGTGCGATTCTTAACATAGGGGTTGGGTTTTGGTTCTTTTAAACAGCTTCCTGATCTACACGATTTGTGGTTTTGAGTACCTATAAAGAAAATCTGAGATTTTGAAAATTGTGGCTGATTAGGTAAATTGAAATAGACTGTAAATCATTGAGTAAAACTCTGCTGCTAAGAGGAAATTTTACTGGCCTTCGCTCTCCGTGTATCATTCATAAAGCTAACCTATAAACAAATATATATATATATATGAATTTGAACGGATGGTGTTTTTGGCCTCTAGGGACCTCAAAACGAAAAAAATCTGTCCCGGGTCCAGGTCTTACCATGAGTACTACGGTAATAGCTTATTCCCTATATGGGAAATTCGCTAAAACAAAACATGTTTTTTTTTCAATTTTGCAGAAATATGTTGATTATAAGAAATACGATTATAGTAATTGACATTTTTGAGTGGTTCGTGAATAAGAAGGGGTTGGGTTAGTAGGGTTAAGTTTGTAGATAAGAATTCACCCATCACGAATAACAAATTTTTGTTTTCTGCAGCTTCCCCATATATATACAATTTTAAAGAGCGTTATAGGCTGAATAATATGAAGTAAATAACTGTGGAGAATGGGCAAACGTTACCACGTCAGTGATTATGTGTGCCAGTAAGGGTTTGGTTGTACACGTAACCTCAACCTTTATAATTTAATTCAAGTTTTCGCATACTTTGATTTCAAAACCAAAACAACCATTAAATTAATTATCACGTATTGCGACTCTATTCAGAATACATACAATTGGGAAAAAATATTTTTTTTTACTTTTATCTTACTAAATGAAACCCATCACGGATTCCTAAATAAACATTGTACAAGTGTACGGAGATAATGGTGAATCGGTGAATGTCAGACCTTAGAAACAGCAATAACAGACAAATTTGAGACCTTTTTTGGTGAAGGTAATTGAAATGTCGAATACTGAATTTACATTAGTTTTCCCTATGCAATTTAACTCGATGTTTCCTTATTCTTACGTTATGTTTATTATTTTTTAGTGTGTTGGCAAACAAACAAGTATTGGTACCAGATCTAGTCTCAACAGTACACTTATAGCACGATTTACTTAAGGAAAAGTGTCGGAGTTATGTTTAAACATCGATCGCGCTTACTGTAGGCCATGCAACACTTGGGATAAAGAGGGAAAGGGTCGCAGCAGAAATAATTAGGTGCGTGAAAAATGTCAAGTAGTGGTGGGAGGGGGGAGAGTGCGTTGTTGGTAGGGTGGAGGGGAGAGGGGGTGCATTAACACTCATTGCCTTCCTCTACGTAACGTACACAACACAACAATGTACAAGTGTGAGCAGCTCGGCTTCGTTCTTTATATCAAGTGTAGTAGGTGTGGATATGACGTCATTGTATCCTCATGTCCTCAAGATCTTGGAGAATCGTTAAAAAATAAACAATTTATATACCATCAAACCATAAAAGCTGAGCATTAAGTTTTTTCCTACAAGACAGGAAGAATGATTTAATTATGTATATTAAACGTGTGTTTCGTTTCCGTTGCAAACGTAATGACGTAAAACATAAATGCTGCAATCATAAAATTCTAGTGCAAATGAATTACGATACAACTTGTAAAGGATTTTTTATAGAGATGGTTTTATTTTTCTCTGTACAGTACTGTATGAGAGGAGTCGTGTATTTGGGTTTTCGGCAGACAAGGGCTGGTGATTTTGCTAGGTAAATAGTTGTTACAGTTTTGTGATTTAAAAATTACACCACACCATGAGGTAGACGATAAAAATGGAAAAAATATCTTCAGATAAACTAACCAATTGCCCTGCTAAAAGTCAACCAATGAACTTAACACAAATTAAAATTACAATGTTTATGGCCTAGTTACCAAAAACAAAACAGTGTAGCTATCACCCATGTTGGAACCCTATGATTATGATTTTGAAGTTAAGTGAACCAAACTAATTTCATTTACTTTTGATTAAGCAACAGACTTTCGGTCCCGTTCTGAAGAACGCTGCAATATTTCGTAAAAGTTGATCGAAGTAACTCCTTGCTGTTTGCTTGATTTTAAACACAACTGGTGATATCAGTGAGAGATGAAGAACAACAATATTGTAATTAAATTGCCTGATTTCAAAGGAACTAATTGCAAAATACTAAATTATATGTTGTATGAAATCGACAAATAATTTCTTTTTCATTTTAAGAACACAGAACCCAGCACTTGCAAACGGCAAATTTATTTTGACAAGGCAAACACCCCCTTGTAGAAAGTAACAAATCAAGCGACAAACAAGGTCTACCTCCCTCTCTTTTCGGCGCATTTAACTTTACACTTTCCTTTATATTTCCGTATGCATTTTTAGACATAACATGTAATGCATGTATTTTGTGATATTTATTATCAGTTTCTTAACATACACCTTCCAGACAATGAAGCTAAAACTAATAAGTAATAGAAATAAGTAAACCATTTGCGAGCTTCCTTTTAATCAACTCTCCAGACATTATCAATAAGTTGTTAGAGAAAGTAAACGAGTTTTAACCGTACTGATATCCTTATCAATCCCGATAACCGAGTTACTTTAGCCAATACCTCCTGTAATACGGTTGTGCTTTGTTTGGAAAACAACTTTGTAGTAAATGTAATTTGGATACGTGACAACATGACTGTTGGTTGTACAATGTATTGCTAATGTAAGCATATGCATTCACGCTTTTATTATTTTCGTAATTCAATAAACTAGCTTTTGTTGGTTACCATTAACCAGGAAAATCGTACAACTATCACAATTGACCTTACCAAGCATGGGCAACATTCAAAAACAGATGTAATTTTGAATAATTTTGTTAAACACATTTTACTAAGAAGTCTACAAGGATGTGGGGTCTAATGGAAAGTTGAGATTGAATGTTTGTCCTATACAGTATTTACAAGTAGCCTATACGGCATAGTACTGTATAATCAGTTACATTACAACTAACAATTTGTAAGGTAATATTTTTTATCATTCGCACGTCTTGTCCAATGAACTGGTAAGATTCGCTTGTGCTGGAGAGATTCCACAGTCGTAGAAAATCCCAGAGTGTAATGAATCCATTCGTTGGGCTTTCCAAAATTAGGAGGGAAACTGTTGGAAAATACCGTGTTTCCAATCATAAATTGAGAGCGGAATACTAGGTTTAGATATATTTTTGAGAACAAGTACGACAATACAAAGTAAATTCTAATAATGTAGGTATTAATTACAGAGGGAAAATATAGTATCCAATTAAGACTAACAATCGCTTTATTATCTAAATGTGGTAGTTTTATAATAGACTGTGTAAGAGTGTCATTATTGCTGATAGCATGTAAGGATTTCTTATTATTACTAGTACTGTATTGTTGTTCTCGAGTACAAATTATCCATAACAGTACAGTATAATTTAATTAACAGTACATTTTAACAGTAAAATTTTAATTAACAGTATAACAATTATTTACTTGAGGTTAAACTGACTAAATACATTTTCAAGTCAACTGATATAAACAGCACAGGGATTTACAAAAGAATGAAGGGAATTAAATCTGAATTAAAAAAATGGGTGAAGAATCAACGAAACTGAAAAAAGTGACCCATTATAGTTAATTGTGCATTTTGGTGATTCATGTTATTCAAGTTATCACTAACAAGGAAATAAGGATTCTCTTGTTGAATAGAGACATACCTAAAATGTAATGCAGTAATCGTACATAACAAAATGACTATTAAACGTATCAACAATGTTGCAAAAGAACGTTTAAAATTATTCTCATAACCCAAAATCAAACTACAGAGTTGGCACAGGAGTTGAAATAAGCTATGTTAACTTAGCAGATGAATGTTAGTTAACTCTGTGAGTGGATGTCCGGAAACCGCTCCTCACTGTTTAACAATGACGACATCAGTGTCAGAGTGAGGCAATTTGTCCGTCACTACAACGATGACTTCACCCCAAGACAAGTAGGCAACACCACACTGTAACGGTTGTTATGTCGTCTGCATGTCAGTTTGAAAACATTGAATTTAACACGCACATATGTAGTTAGATTGGCAACACATGTTTAATGCCTGAGTGCTCAAGTACTTGCCAGGTGATCAAAAGATCACCGGTTCGATTCTGAGAAAAGTCACTGGCTTTTGACGATTAGAAACTGGACCAAGCTTTCCTTGATCATTGGGGTTTCAATAAATACTCCTGGCTAATGAAACATCTCGTCTTAGTCAGTACCTAACAAAACTACACAAGGCATTCTGCACTTATCATTTGCTCATTTTACGTTTGGTTGAAATACGTAATTAGGTGGCGTGCCCATACCAACCCTATATAAGAGAATGATAAGATTTTGTCAAGATCTTAACCATTTCGGCCATTCTTTTAGTTTTAAATCTTAGTTTTTTGAATGGAAACTAACTTAGTGATAAATAGACAGTTCATAACATAACATATAATAATTAAAATCAGCTTTACCGTACTTGCTGATCTAAATATTAGCTTAAAGTTCTTTTTGGGTAATCTTGCAAATTATATGGTTTGAAAATAAAAATAGTCTTACGATTGTTGGGCAAGTAAACTAATTAAACAACAACTTTAAAAATCACGACAAGGTTAAGGTACCTTACCTTACATTATCAAAGATATCTAAGTTATTGTTAAATTGAGAACTTTCACAATTTCAAAATTTGTGTTTTCCTTACAGTTTTTATTGTACCCTTACTGATAATAGATGTAAACAAAAGTAAATTTAAAGAATGGTTCCCGTATCCCACATCACTTTTTACAAAAAAATAGATCCTCTTGACTAAAATAGTCGATATAGACTGACTAAGCGTTATGGGCTTCGTTTTGCAATAAGCTTCTATTGTCGTGTTCTATGGCCTAAATGGATAGCTTTGCCCATGGCAGTGTACTTTTGACTAAAGGCCCAAAGAAGTCCGGCAAACCCAAAAACCCTTTGAACCCTGATTTGTCCTACTGTGTCAATGGTCCCTGATCCGATGACTAGAAGCTCTACAACTGATTGTTTGGGCGAGGTGTCTAATTGTCATCGCTCCTGTCAGTGTCAGCAGATACTTAGAAACCCTTCAACTAGATCATGCACCAATTGGGATTACTGTATAACAAATCTCACTACATCAGATGGATTAGATCAGGAAAAAACTTACCATGATAAAATTAATAAATTTAAAACTAAACATTTAACTTATACCCCGTAATGTTGATTTAAAGTAGTTAAAACTGGAGTTGGTTTGATATATTGTCCTAGCTCGGAAATTGACTTTTATAAATTAGGAAATCTTGTGAGCTATTTCCAAATCAACAATCGAAGAGAAAGAAACCAAAAACTTAAACTAACCAACACAAGTAGACTTCTCATCCCATTGTAACTTTTGATGTTGGTTTTTCGTGTTTAGTTCATAGTGATCATGACACTGATCGCTAGTTCCGACGAAATTTTGTTTCTCTTATTTTAGGGTTAATTTCATGATTCGGGCTTTAATGTTTGGTTACAAACTTGTTATAAAAAGAGTTGATCAACGGCTGAATTCAGTACAAAATCAATATTCAAGTTCACTGTTAATTGTTTAGAGAACCTCTCCCCAGTAAAACCGAGGATAAAAATCAGGAATTATTTGGTAAGTTGGAGCAAATTTAACACAGTGTGCGATGAGAGGTCTTCGGTTAAGAAAATAGAAGTTGGAAGTATGCGTTTTACCGAACAAACTCCCCAAGTTATGACAATTATATAACAATAATGACAATTATATCGTTTGGATTTTCATCATTTGTTATAATTGTTCCATACCTGTTGGTTAATTTTGCTGTATTAAAATAAGTGCATCATATCAATTATGACAACTTTCCTATGTGTGCTCATAGTCGATAAGGGTGGTTAAATGTTATTAATTTGAAAATGCCCCCGTCGTATCAAACCTGCAGACTTAAGCAATATTTATCTTTTAATTTTGTAATGCGAATAGCAGACTTTTATTTTATACGGTTAGAAATCCAAGTACTGTACTCTATTAATATGGGCATTTTCAATCCATCAACTATTTTTAGAAGCATTTGGTTTTCAAAAAGGTGATAAATGGATATTCCTAGACAAGATAGAGTATTATGAAAATACCAAAAATGTATTACTTTATACTTAAAATTATTAATAATACTAATTTTTATTATTTAGCCTAACGTAACTTAGAGTTTTATGAAGCCTTTACAAACATGTTTTGTTTTGTTTTCAAAATTATAAATGCGTTTGAAAAGCAATAAATTCCTAGGTACAAATTAATTGATCCTACTGTACGTTCATTCTTTGAGAGTCGGCCTAAATATTTATGAAGAAGTAGTCCAAATGATAATCAACAAGCTAACAGCTGATCCATTAAGACGGTACTGTAGTAACACTGTACTTCAACTCCCTGTTACCTAATTACCTATGAACTAGGTTCTATTATGCGTAGATTGTGTTGCAGTACATACCGAAGTAGACGGGCTTGTTACACTTGGGGCAGTTGGGCATGTTTGTTGCTGATGTTACACCTGAAGTGTGATGACCACCAGAGCACAGTATAACAGACACTGAGTGTTGGTTGCCGCCGCTAACTACACACAGCGCTGCCGTAGCGGCAATCCGGTTATCAACGACCTTGACTGAGATAGTAGATTCACCGCCACAGACGTTCCTACATACCTTTCAGGAGAGTAAACGAGATGGGGACCTATGCTGAAACTATCAGCCAGGAGAACCTGGGTCCCCATCTCGTGTATTCTGTTTTACTCCTCAGGTCGCCAATAGCATGACTATTGAATACTGAAGTAGACTTCCCATCTATATGGACCAGCCCTAGTTGTGTGAGCCAGTCACAGAATGCACTAGTGTCTAATATTCTATGTTATACCTTTTTTTTGTTGCTGGCCAGGTGGATGGGTCAAAACAGTTGCAATAACTCATCATAAGTCATTCCTTAAGTTTGACTTGGTAAAAAAGTGTTTGTATTTGACAGAATTTAGCAATTGAGATCAGCGCAATCCAAAGGTGGCTCACATTGCTCACATCAACTATGACGGTTTTGATAAAAAAATATCTTGCTACAAATTTAAGATGGGAATGGAAAGTCTAGTTGTATACAAAGCCAGTATAGGACTATCAAAGGTTGGATGGGGATGAGAAGGGCCTTCGGTAGAATGGTAGAATTTTGAGGTTCTGCACTGAAATTCACCTCTGCACCAGTTTCCAATCACCATAAAGTAAGAGGCTTTAGATACTTCAGTAATATAATATAGAATTATTTTAAAATTGAAAACCTGACACATTGACATGTCTTTTCAGCATTGCGCTTGTTGTACTCAGCTGGGCTATCTTGTACTATTTAAAAAGAGATCCTACTCAATTCTATGCTTGTTTGGTGTCGGGTTTGTCGTTGGACCTGTCAATATGTCAGATCCAATGTAATTCTGTGCTCACAGCACTCTTTCAGCAAATTTCCCATGAAGGGAATAAGCTATTACCGCAAGATTAGTGGAAACCTAGTCACCTAGATCCGATTTACTTTTTGTTTAGAGGTCCCCAGAGACCAAAATACAGGATGGGGCAGGGAAGTATCCCTAATTTTGAAGGTACATTAAAATACAATCAAAAATGTTAGAACTAAACTTTATATTGGGATAAAGATGGTTACATCTGGGAGTTTATTTTAATATAACTTTACTTGGTTTTAAAGAACATATCCTGCAAGTGGTCTCCCTAATCGTAAATACACAGCTGTATTCTGGTTCTGGAGTCCATCATAACTCTGTGGAGCATTTGATGTGGAATGCGTCAAAATTCAAGTGAATTGCATCCTTCGAGGCATTTAGGATCTTCCTTTGAACTACCCTAGCCTTAGCATTACTCCAATAGAGCATATTCTGCTTATTTACCGCTCCTGAAATATGGAAGTGTGCCTCGTCACTAAACAAAACCCGAGCATCTTGAGGCAGGCCCGCAATTATGATTTCACATGCCTGCATTCGTTGTTGCCAGGCTCGTTGTGTGAGTTTCTTAGCAACTGCTAAGAAACTCACACAACGAGACTGGCAACAACGAATGCAGGTATGTGAAATACAATGCTCAAAGAACCGTCCGGACTCCTAAAAACATCCTGAAGATAGATGTTGCAGTGTCCTCAACGTTCTGCTTGTAAAACCCTCTTGTATATATGGAGGTGTAGGTCATTACGCCAGCGCGGATGCATGCTTACAAGCAGAAGGTTGAGGACACTGCAACATCTATCTTCAGGATGTTTTCCTACCCTCTTGTATAGATTGAGGTGTAGGTCATTACGCCAGCTCGGATGCATGCTTACAAGCAGAACGTTGAGGACACTGCAACATCTATCTTCAGGATGTTTTCCTACCCTCTGGTAGATGGAGGTGTAGGTCATTACGCCAGCACGGATGCATGCTAACAAGCAGAACGTTGAGGACACTGCAACATCTATCTTCAGGATGTTTTCCTACCCTCTGGTATAGATGGAGGTGTAGGTCATTACGCCAGCGCGGATGCATGCTTACAAGCAGAAGGTTGAGGACACTGCAACATCTATCTTCAGGATGTTTTCCTACCCTCTTGTATAGATGGAGGTGTAGGTCATTACGCCAGCGCGGATGCATGCTTACAAGCAGAACGTTGAGGACACTGCAACATCTATCTTCAGGATGTTTTCCTACCCTCTTGTATAGATGGAGGTGTAGGTCATTACGCCAGCACGGATGCATGCTAACAAGCAGAACGCTGAGGACACTGCAACATCTATCTTCAGGTTGTTTTCCTACCCTCTTGTATAGATGGAGGTGTAAGTCATTACGCCAGCGCGGATGCATGCTTACAAGCAGAACGTTGAGGACACTGCAACATCTATCTTCAGGATTTTTTCCTATCCTCTTGTATAGATGGAGGTGTAGGTCATTATGCCAGAGCGGATGCATGCTTACAAGCAGCACGTTGAGGACACTGCAACATCTATCTTCAGGATGTTTTCCTACCCTCTTTTATAGATGGAGGTGTAGGTCATTACGCCAGCGAGGATGCATGCTTACAAGCAGAACGTTGAGGACACTGCAACATCTATCTTCAGGATGTTTTCCTACCCTCTTGTATAGATGGAGGTGTAGGTCATTACGCCAGCACGGATGCATGCTAACAAGCAGAACGCTGAGGACACTGCAACATCTATCTTCAGGTTGTTTTCCTACCCTCTTGTATAGATGGAGGTGTAAGTCATTACGCCAGCGCGGATGCATGCTTACAAGCAGAACGTTGAGGACACTGCAACATCTATCTTCAGGATTTTTTCCTATCCTCTTGTATAGATGGAGGTGTAGGTCATTATGCCAGCGCGGATGCATGCTTACAAGCAGAACGTTGAGGACACTGCAACATCTATCTTCAGGATGTTTTCCTACCCTCTTTTATAGATGGAGGTGTAGGTCATTACGCCAGCGAGGATGCATGCTTACAAGCAGAACGTTGAGGACACTGCAACATCTATCTTCAGGATGTTTTCCTACCCTCTGGTATAGATGGAGGTGTAGGTCATTATGCCAGCGCGGATGCATGCTTACAAGCAGAACGTTGAGGACACTGCAACATCTATCTTCAGGATGTTTTCCTACCCTCTTTTATAGATGGAGGTGTAGGTCATTACGCCAGCGCGGATGCATGCTTACAATCAGAACGTTGAGAAGACTGCTAAATCTATCTTCAGGATGTTTTCAGGAGTCTGGACGGTTCTTTGAGCTCTAAATATCCTTCGCAATACAACACCACATACATGGATGTCTTTCACTCAAGCCAAAATGTAACAGCTTTGCGGCAGGCCATCCGATAACAAGTTCGCACAATTTAACATTGACCACGAGCTGCACAGCAACAATAGACTGATAAAAAAAAAATACAACTCGAAAGCAGAAGCACATTGCTCTCTCGAGCCATGTCTTCTACTGACAGTGATATTCTTAGAAATCCCCAAAACAAAAGCTTCATTTGAGCCCAACTAACCCCATTTCTCCAGCACACCCCCACTACTCACAGTGCCATTTTAAAAGTAGGGATATTTCCCTGCGCATCCTGTATAATCCGTTCAAACCATAGATATACAGGGTGTTGAAAATGTCTGGAACCAACATTATATCTCGTGAGTGGTTAAAGAAAAACAACTGATATTTTGTGTACGGATATACCATGGTTTTACCTATCTTTTAGTGCCATATGAAAATTTTTACCACTTATAGGGAACGTCCTGTGGAGGATGCAGTAAAAAGTTTTAATGGAAGCCTATGGTAAATGATACATCATTTTAAAGGCCATTTTTTTCTGAGTAAGGAGCCACAAGTTTCATCTCAAAAGGACCACCCTAGCAAAAATGGCGACTATTTGAAATTTAAAAAACCACTTATAGGGAACGGAATTTTTAAATTTCAAACAGTCGCCATTTTTGCTAGGGTGGTCCTTTTGAGATGAAACTTGCAGCTCCTTACTCAGAAAAAAATGGCCTTTAAAATGATGTATCATTTACCATAGGCTTCAATTAAAACTTTTTACTGCATCCTCCACAGAACGTTCCCTATAAGTGGTTATTTAAATTTCAAACAGTCGTCATTTTTGCTAGGGTGGTCCTTTTGAGATGAAACTTGTGGCTCCTTACTCAGAAAAAAATGGCCTTTAAAATGATGTATCATTTACCATAGGCTTCCATTTAAACTTATTACTGCATCCTCCACAGGACGTTCCCTATAAGTGGTAAAAATTTTCATAAGGCACCAAAAGATAGGTAAAACCATAGTATATCCGTACACAAAATATCATTTGTTTTTCTTTAACCACTCACCAGATATAATGTTGGTTCCAGACATTTTCAACACCCTGTATAATAACAACACATTATATATCTATGGTTCAAACGCACGTTTAGTGCTAAGCTTGTTATTCCTAGGTCCAGGACTGATAAAAGATCTAGGTTTCAGGAATAAAACTGTTTAATCACCTTGGACATGTAAGAAATCTTGAAAGAAAGAGCTTCCAAACTACAATCTTCGATTGGCTGGGAAAATCATTTATTACAATTGAATTATTTTGTGACCCTGTTGTTAGCTAAGTAAGTTTCCCTCTTAGCCGTTTGTTTCATTATTTTGCACTGTGCATGCAATTTTGCGTAAACTGCATGGCTTGGTTTGTATTTTGTTGTGCATAGTTTTTTGTATTATTTTGTACATGGTTTGTTTCGATTGACTTTTGCTTGATTTGATATTTTAAGACTTGATATTTTTTTATGCTTATACACAGCTTGACATAGCTTGTAATGTATTGTTGATCGGCCAAATAAAATCATTGTATGAATTCATGAATTTGAACAGATGGTATTTTTTCACGAGCCGTTGGTAAAGACCACGTAAAAACGTAAATTAATTCTAACGAGTTCTTGAACCAGCATGATCGGGCCATGGGAACCCCGGTATATCGGGTTTTTATGGACAAAAATTTGGCTTTTCTTAAATCTTCAAAATACTGTGGAGAATTCATCAATTCCTTTCCAAATCATTTTGAAGAGCTTCAAAAGATGTACTACGTTAAA